CAGACAATATGTCTTCGTCCAGGGGCGAAGGGGAGCCTGCAGCGACCTCCGGGATGGGATCTGGGAAAGATTATACAAAACGGTTGTCTATGACCTCGAGGACGTGGTCCGACCACGCTAGGTCGAAATGGTTCGTCGACTGGTGCTGTGCTGATGCTACGAACCCAGTCCAACAGCCGTGTGGTCCTGTGATCTTCGTCGAAGCCAACAAGCGCCGCAGGGTTCTGGGGGCTGTCTTGCGGTGGGAGAACGAGAAAGGCAGTCGTCGACGGTTTTACATGAAAAATGTGTACGGTTCGAAGGGGAACGTCGTCGCCGGTGCCAAGGGGGCAGTTCTCGACATGTGTCTGTTCGAGGGGTTCGGAGCGGGTGCTGCGAACACCCCATTCTACAACGACCTCCGGCGGCAGGGCGGGTTTGTTCTGGGTCGAGAGTTCTTCGACCTGGTGGAGGACAAGGGCATCGCCCTCGACGTCCCTTGCGAAGTCGGTCCCGACTGGAACTGTCAATGCCTTTGCAGCCGTGCGGCGGTTGTGAGTCGAGCAAGGCAGCGGGGGAGGGGGGGGATCTGGGTTCCGGGGAGGCTACACATGTGCAGCGGGAGGATGCCAGAGGTCAGTTTGACGACAGCGAAGATGAGGCGACACCGCGTCCGCCGTTTTCGTCGTCGAGGGAAAGAGACAGGTCCGTGCTGTCCATACCTGGGGTCCGGCAACAGACCGCAGCGGATCCCGGAGAAGAGGGAGTCCTGTGTGGGTCTGACTTGGAGCCCGCCGAGGGCCATGGCGCGGAAGGTGAGGCCGTGGGCGGGGAGGGAGCGCAGGGCACTCCCCGAAAAAGGAGGGGAGAATGTCAAGAAGAGTTGGTGGGCTATTCGAAGAAACAGAAGACCAAGACCCCAAGGACTGCGGGAGAGAAACGGAAGGGGAAGGGGGTGGAAGAGGGTCACCCGGGTAGCAAACGTCCAGCTTCGAAACATAAACAGCCTGAGTCGGGACCTTCTTCACCACGGCCTGGCATCGACGTGGACGCCGGGTACTTCCTGGAGTACAAAGACGGCGTCAGGACAAGCCGGGAGTTTGACATCAGCCCGGCTCAGATCGTTGACATAAGGGAGTGAGAGGATCTTTACAACCAGCGGTCGCTAGATCCCGTCCTCGTGGAAACAAAGGGAAGCAATGCGGTCTGCATTCGAAAATAAAGAACAGACGTACGAGTTGCCGGTCTTCAAGCTCGCACCACTGGGGCTTCAAAAACCAACTCCTGGGACCAAGGCACGACGTTTGAAGATAGAGGAGTGGAAGGATGAGCTGGCGGGAGAATACTACTACTACGCGGTGTGCGGGCAGCACAACGCGGCTGCAGCTAGGTCGCTGCTCGGCAGTGAGGTGGCCAAGAAGTACAATTTCGAGCGGTGGCCGACACGGATGGTGTACTTTTCCGACGATGACTTCGAAGGGTATTTTCTTGTTAGTTCACAGGACAACAAGAAGGACCTGAAGGCGCCTCCCAGACAGTTGAAACTTTCTATGAAAGACATTCGATGGCAGTGGAAGCATGACGGCTGCCCGAGAGCTGTGATGGGGAACCCTAGCGGGAAACAAGATCATGTCCGGGCTTGGCGTAAGTTTTGTACAACGGCGCTCCATAAGGCGCCTCAAAACAGCTTGTG